TTCACATAAAGTATGCATTTAATTTCCTGAATACCTATCACATTTCTTGAGTCCCTGAACTGCCAGAACAGGAGAAACACGTAAAAATGACCCCATTTTGGAAAGCAAACACCTGAAGGTGTAGTAAGTCTTTTGAAAATGTCATTTTTTTGCCACTAGTGTTTGTAAAATGTAGGAAAGAAGACACAAAGGGGTTGATTTACGTAGGCTAGGTTCACACACGTGCAGGTCGTCTGGCTGCGGATCCACACAAAAATTCATGCAGCCTCACCACCGGCACAGAGGAATGCGAACCCGCGGGCGGGTGCCATTAGTTCTAATGGCATGCTGCCCGCACCGGAAAACGCAACCATACTGGGAACCGAGGTTCCCGTGAGGGCTGTGTTCTCAGAAGAAGTGCAGGGACTTCTTCCCTGCATGTCACGGGGCATGGGAGTCCATTCAAATGAATGGGCTCTCGTGCCCGTGCAAAACGCGGCCCGCACGACCGCATATATGTGAATCTGGGGTAAAACAGGAGAGTGAAAAATCTGGTGCAGCTCTGCATAGAAACCAATCAACTTCCAGTTTTTTTCTCCAAGCTTAATTGAACAAGCTGAAGTCAGAAGCTGCTTGGCGACCACAGACAGCTGCACCAGATTTTACACTCTACAGTTTTAGTAAATCAACCCCAAAGTCAATTAATAGGATTTTTCTAACATACAACATAGGTAGAGATGAGCGAATTATTCAAAAATTCGATTCGGCTGATTCGCCGAATTTGTGGAATAAATTCGATTCGATGCGAATTTATTCGCTGCGAATTTAACTTATAAAAAGGGTTTCTAGGCTTCAGAGAGCCTTTATATTAGTGCAGAACACTGTACCTTTAATTTAAATGCCCTTGGAGTCTGCTGGGGAAGAGAAATAATACCGTCAGTCAGTATGACATGCAGATGAGTGCCGTCGATCTTAGAATCACCGCACACTTCACTCATTTGGGCAGTCACGGGGCCAAAACCAGAGTGTGGAGCCACAGTGTGGCGGTGGAGGCAGCAGCAATGGGAGGCCATACAGCACCCTATGACAAAATGGAACCCACCAGCAGTGTGAGGAGACCTGAAAGTGGCACATGGCAGAGTGTGGCGATGGAGACAGCAGCAATGGGAGGCTGTACAGGGACCCATGACACACTCTGGACCTGGCAGCAGCATGAGGAGGCGGTACAGGGGCCCATGGCAAGAAGAAGAAGAAGATGAGGATGAGGATGAGGATGAGGATGAAGAAGAAGAAGAAGAAGAAGTAGATGAAGAAGAAGAAGAAGTAGGATGAGGATGAAGAAGAAGAAGAAGAAGAAGAAGTAGGATGAGGATGAAAGAAGAAGAAGAAGAAGTAGGATGAGGATGAAGAAGAAGAAGAAGAAGTAGGATGAGGATGAAGAAGAAAGAAGAAGAAGATGAGAAGAAGAAGAAGAAGAAAGTAGGATGAGGATGAAGAAGAAGAAGAAGAAGAAGAAGGATGAGGATGAAGAAGAAGAAGAAGAAGAAGAAGAAGGATGAGGATGAAGAAGAAGAAGAAGAAGAAGAGTAGGATGAGGGAAGAAGAAGAAGAAGAGAGAAGGATGAGGATGAGAAGGAAGAAGAAGAAAAGAAGAAGTAGGATGAGGATGAAGAAGAGAAGAAGAAGAAGAAGAAGAAGTAGTGATGAGGATGAAGAAGAAGAAGAAGAAGTAGGATGAGGATGAAGAAGAGAGAAGAAGAAGAAGAAGAAGAAGAGGGATGGGGATGATGAAGAAGAAGAAGAAAGTAGGATGAGGATGAAGAAGAAGAAGAAAGAGGATGAGGAGAAGAAGAAGAAGAAGGATGAGGATGAGGAAATGAAGAAGAAGAGAAGAAGGATGAGGAGGAATGAAGAAGAAGAAGAAGAAGAAGAGGTGGGTAGGATGAGGATGAAGAAGAAGAAGAGAAGAAGGATGAAGGATGAGGATGAAGAAGGGGAAGAAGAAGGAATGAGGATGAGGGATGAAGAAGAAGAAGAAGAGAGGATGAGGATGAGAAGAGAGTAGGAAGGAGAAGTAGGGGGGAAGAATGAGAAGAAGAAGAAGAAGAAGTAGGATGAGGATGAAGAAGAAGAAGAAGAAGAAAAGAAGGTAGGATGAAGATGAGAATGAAGAAGAAGAAGAAGTGGATGAGGATGAGGAGAAGAAGAAGAAGAAGTAGGATGAGAAGAGAAGAAGAAGAAGAAGAAGAAGAAGAAGTAGAATAGAGGATGAGGAGAAGAAGAAGAAGAAGAAGTGAGGATGAGGATGAAGAAGAAGAAGTAGGAGGATGAGGAGAAGAAGAAGAGAAGAAGAAGAATGAAGAGGATGAAGATGAAGAAGAAGAAGAAGTAGGAGAAGGATGAAGAAGAGAGAAGAAGAAGAAGTAGGATGAAAGGAAGATGAAGAAGAAGAAGAAGAGAGAAGGATGGGGTGAAGAAGAAGAAGAAGGAGGATGAGGATGATGAAGAAGAAGAAGAATGAAGGGGATGAGGATGAAGAAGAAGAAGAAGAAGAAGTAGGATGAGGATGGAGGAAGAAGAAGAAGTGAGGAAGAGAAGAAGAAAAGAAGAGGATGAGGATGAAGAAGAAGAAGAAGTGAAGGATGAGGATGAAGAAGAAGAAGAAGAAGAAGAAGAAGTAGGGATGAGGATGAAGAAGAATTGAAGAAGAAAAAGTGTATCTAGGAGCTGCTTTTTCTGACAGTTCTTTTTTGGACAGTTCCTAACATTTAGAGGATGGTTTGAAACATTGATCTAGTTTGGAAGAAAACAGTATGAAGAAGAAGGGGAAAATAGAGAAAATGTTTCAAGTAAGAGGTAAATGTGAAGGAACTGTCAGGAAGAAGAGAAAGAATAGATAGTAAGGAGCTCTCTGAGGGAACTTTTTGCCGGCTGTAGAAGGGATGAAAAAGAAGGCCGATAGGATGGGAAAATTCGATTCGCGCATCGTAGAAGAGGATTGTTGTGGAGTTTGCTAAGAAGGTGGAAGAGTGTGGCGGTGGAGGCAGAGAAGCAATGGGAGGCCATACATGCACCCTAGAAAAAGGAAGGTAAGCAGATGTGGAGGAGACCTGAAGAAGAAGAATGGGAGAGTGTGGGATGAGACAGCAGAATGGGAGGCTGGGGGGGGTGGAAGAAGATGGAGAAAGATGGGATCTGGAGAAGGAAGTAAGCATGAGGAGGCGGTACAGGGGAAGATGAAGAAGAAGAAGAGTGAGGATGAGGATGAGGGAGACGAAGAAGAAGAAGAAGAAGAAGTAGGATGAGAAGAAGAAGAAGAAGAAGAAGAAGAAGAAGAAGTAGGATGAGGATGAAGAAGAGAAGAAGAAGAAGAAAGAGGATGGGGATGAAGAAGAAGAGAAGTAGGATGAGGATGAAGAAGAAGAAGAAGAAGAAGAAGTAGGATGAGGAGGAAGAAGAAGAAGAAGAAGAAGAGGATGAGGATGAAGAAGAAGAAGAAGAAGTAGGATGAGGATGAAGAAGAAGAAGAAAAGAAGAAGAAGAAGAAGGAAGGTAGGAAGAATGAAGAAGAAAGAAGAAGAAGAAGGAGATGAGGATGAAGAAAGAAGAAGAAGAAGAAGGAAGGATGAAGGATGAAGAAGAAGAAGAAGAAGTAGGATGAGGAGGAGAAGAAGAAGAAGAAGAAGTAGGATGAGGATGAAGAAGGAAGAAGAAGAAGAGGATGAGGATGAAGAAGAAGAAGAAGAAGAAGTAGGATGGATGAGGAAGAAAGAAGAAGAAGAAGTAGGATGAAGAAGAAGAAGAAGAAGAAGAGGAAGGAAGAAGAAGAAGGATGGGGATGATGAGAAGAAGAAGAAGTAGGATGAGGATGAAGAAGAAGAAGAGAAGAAGAAGAAGTAGGATGAGGATGAAGAAGAAGATGAAGAGTAGGATGAGGATGAAGAAGAAGAAGAAGAAGAAGAAGATAGGATGAAGGAAGAAGAAGAAAGAAAAAGAAGAAGAAGAAGGATGAGGATGAAGAGGAAGAAGAAAGAAGAAGTAGGATGAGGATGATGAAGAAGAAGTAGAAGAAGTAGGATGAGGATGAAGAAGAAGAAGTAGGATGAGGATGAAGAAGAAGAAGAAGAAGAAGAAGTAGGATGAGGATGAAGAATGAAGAAGAAGAAGAAGTAGGATGAGGATGAAGAAGATGAAGAAGAAGAAGAAGAAGTAGGATGAGGATGAAGAAGAAGAAGAAGAAGAGAAGTAGGATGAGATGAAGAAGAAAAGAAGAGAAGAAGAAGAAGAAGGAAGTAGGATGAGGATGAAGAAGAAGAAGAAGTAGGATGAGGATGAAGAAGAAGAAGATGAGGATGAGGATGATGAAGAAGAAGAAGAAGAAGAAGTAGTATGAGGATGAAGAAGAAGAAGAAGAAGTAGGATGAGGATGAAGAAGAAGAAGAAGAAGTAGGATGAGGATGAAGAAGAAGAAGAAGAAGAAGAAGGATGAGGATGAAGAAGAAGAAGAAGAAGAAGAAGAAGTAGGATGAGGATGATGATGAAGAAGAAGAATAAGTAGGATGAGGATGAAGAAGAAGAAGAAGAAGAAGTAGGATGAGGAAGAAGAAGAAGAAGAAGAAGAAGAAGGATGAGGATGAAGAAGAAGAAGAAGTAGGATGAGGATGAAGAAGAAGAAGAAGAAGAAGAAGTAGGATGAGGATGAAGAAGAATTCCAGTGCAGCAAAAAGTGTATCTGCAGAGAGCTCCGCTATTTCTGACAGTTCTCTGACAGTTCCTTCACATTTACAGCGGTTGAAACATTGTATCTATTTGTTTCCGAATAAAAACATCTGTATCCTAAATGGAAACAAATAGATACAATGTTTCAACTGCTGTAAATGTGAAGGAACTGTCAGAGAACTGTCAGAAATAGCGGAGCTCTCTGCAGGGACACTTTTTGCCGGCTGTAGAAGGGATGAAAATTGGCCGATCGGGGAAAATTCGATTCGCGCATCCGAAGTTTGCTAATATTCGGATTCGGCGCGAATCGAATTTTTCCTAATATTCGAAACGAATTCCACTTCGCCAGGTTCGATTCGCTCATCTCTAAACATAGGTATACTTGAAATTACACTACAAAACACATTCTGTTCTCCTCCTGAGTATAGGGATACCATATATGTGACAGTTTTTCACAGCCTAGCCACACAGAGAGGCCCAAAATTCAAGAAGCAACTTCAGGTGTTCTAGGGGCATAAATGACATATCTAATTTTCTGGCTACATATCACATTTATAGACACTGTGACTAGCTACACTATTAGAGCTTGTTTATATGTGAGTTGGGAGGTGGTAAATCCTTGTGTTTGAGCCGCAGTTTTACTGCCCCTAATCACTACCCCTTTAGCTGCAGAGGTAATGGACAGGGGTGTACGATGCTTGGTGTTGAAGTCATAGAAGGAATTATACCCTTGTTGCTTTCAGTGGGCAATCCCTACTAATTCAAGTGAAGAAGGATGTTTGTGTTGGGTCTAAAGGGTTAAAGCAGTTAACAACGCCTCTAGGCTGCACTTGTTCACAAGTGAGGTTGGGGGCAGTAAAACAGAAGCTCATTCACATGTGAATGAGCCCTAATAGTACAGTCAGTTGCAGTGTCCACAGTTACCACCACACCAGTGCTATTGTCACCAAAAGACCTCATTCAGATGTGTGATGCTCTAAAGAGTCATATTAATTAAACTTGAGGTTGAGCCACAGTTTTACTGGCCCCAACTGCTCTCCTTTTGAGCTGCAGACACAGTGGATCAAGATGTACCCATGGAGCAGCTGCAATGCTTTGCTTCACAGCCATGGCAGGAATTATACCCTCTGTCACATTTTTCTGATTACATCTGATTCAAGTGAATGGAGGTGTTTGTCAGGGTCCAAGGGGTTAAAGCATGTAGTGAGGAAGCAATACAACACCTCCTCACTACTTGTCAAATGCTTTCTTAAGAGTGATCCAAATATGGATCACTCTTCAGAGAGCACCACACATGGTGGACCTTTTGATGGCAATGTAACTGGTGTGGTTGTGAATGGGAACACTGTGACTGGCTGAACTGATCTGGGGGTATTTACTGCTGTGGCCATGTTTATGTATAACAGCTGGCTGCTCTGATAACACTGTATGCCATTGTCTCTGATCACCACTATAGCATTACCATGTCATCATAGTGGCACTGCACTTGACTGTATGTAAAAAGAAAAAAATATACACTGTGGCATGGTGAGGCCATGCCACTGCACGATAAGGCAGTCTGGGCCAGGTTTTGGAAAAAACAGGCCCACTAATGGCACAGGTGTGTGCTGTTCTTTTAAGAAAAAACAGGATTAGGAGGAAGGGTCTCAGCCTGGGTCAGTGATTGTAAGGGAGAAGGAAGCCGAGAGGCACAGCCTCACCCGGAGGTCTGAGGTGCCCCAAACCAGAGGCCTAGTCTGGGAGAAGCCGAGAGACAGGGAATCACCTGGCTGTCAGAGGTGCAGGATGGTCTGGAAGTCCAAGGCATGAGGCCTGAGCTGAAGGGCCATTGAAGAAGAGGCTTGATTGTTGCTTTGTCATATAGGTAGTGAGAACCCCTTGCATGGGAAGATATTTTTGTGAATGTTTTGCTTTCCTTTAAATAAAAATGGGCAGGAAATGCTTTGAAATGTACTTCTGGCTTGGAGTAAACTCACTGTATAAGCACATCTACCACGAGCACTAACAACCCTATGTCACAATTGGTGGAGAAATTCTGGTGGCAAATGGCAGAGTACCAGATCCTCGCATGTGAGTAGCCAGAGATTGTTTGCTCTGCAGAATGCAGCAGCTGGTGTAATTGAAATCTGCATGGAGAGGTGTATGGTCTTGCAAGCCTTAAAGAGACAATACACCAAAATGTTCTGGTTTGTGCAAAAGAACTGTGCTAAAAAGCTGTGGTGTGCCTGGCTTCAGAGATAGGGTGGTCAATGTGCAAAAAGAAAAGCAATATATGCCGTGGAAAAGGAAAGCAAGGAGAGCAAATGGGAGCAGTTGCCCTTGATAACAAAGGAGAAATCTGAGCTGCTGACTTCATACAGCCTATGTTGCCTTCTGAACATGTTGAGGACTTTTTGGATGAGTTTACGATGATTGTTTCCTACAGAAAGTGTCCCAAAAGTGTCTTTCCTCTGCGCTGATCGATTTTCGCATGAAAGAGTCTGTCTTCTTAATGAGCGGTCCAACCATGGTTAGGAGGAGCTCAAAAGACTGCTGCGACATTCCCAAATAGTTTTTAAAGTCATTGGGATTATTTTCTCTCAAATTGGAGAGCAGGTTCATGTGTGAAAATGATTGAAGAAGCCAGTCTTTGGACCACACTCTTCCTTTGTTTCTTCTTTTTTTTCCTCCATTGCTAACAGGCAGAGCACTATAATGGCCATTTTTCTTTTGGTAATTTTTCTTGGCATTTTTGTATAATAAATCACGATAATTCGTACATACGGCACAAGGCTGATGTCTCCTTCCTGAAGGATTCGTGGAGTGTAGGAGGGTAACAAAGGTCACAAAATGACATCATTTCCTTAAGAGGTTAGGATTTTCACGGCTAAATCGCCCGAGTTTTGTAATCAATGGTGGTTACGTCGGATATATGACCGACCGTATTTTCATTTATCACACAGAAAAACGGACAAATTTCGTGCCATCTATGGCCTGCAAAAGGCTACTGGGCTAAATTGGTGCAGCCTTTTCTGACAGAGGAGTACCAAGAGGTGTATCGCTTGATGGGTCATGATCAAGATGACTACGATGGGTACCAAGAAACAATCCATTCTATAGAGCGGTGGAGAATGTGGTCTCCCATGGTAACTGGAGAAAAAGTATTGCCTGGATAATGGAGCTGAAGTGAAGAGGTGGCTTATCATCCCCAGAAAGATGGCTGGCATGTCTGAGTGTCTGTGACACAAAGGAAGAGTGCAACAGCCAAGTGGAGTGGTAAAACCGTTGCTGTGATAAATGTGAAAGAGACTGATTATGAGTCTAACCTTGGTAAAGTGGCAGTAAGTCCAGTGAGGAGATCGCATACTAATAGAGACTTGCTGCTGTGTAGTGGGGAAACATTGGTTAATGCTGAACCCGCAGCAAGACTATGGACTGATAAGGACTTGTCTTCATGCAGTCTTTGTGTAGCAGGGAGACAAATAGTAAAACTAAGTATGATGTTGTGTTGTTTACTAATGAATCTGAAAATGCTGAGGTATATAATAAGTTAATTTAGCCTGCTAAGGCTGAAACAGCAGAATCTTATGAGGTTAATGAAGCGCCAGTGCATGGTGGTAAAAATGTGGTTTTCAGGCATTTATGTCAGGGATGACCATTGAGAGATGTGTTCTGTTGCCCATAGCAACTGTGATAGATGCAGCAGGGGTGTCCATGGAGACCTCCCATTAGCTCATGGTGTTTGAGTGTAAGGTTTCTTAGGAAAACTGTGTAGCCACCCTGATGGTGAGAGTGTGCCTTTTAAGGTGAAAAGTGCTGTATTAATTGCCCCACAGGCTAAAGCTGGTAAGAAGCTAAGACAGCCTGTGAAAGTCAAGAATTATGTTAATGAGGAATGTATTTCTGACAATGGTGAGGATGAAGGTTTTTCCATGGCAGCCACAAGTAGTACTGCAGTTGTCCTTGGGAATCGCACAAGGACCCATGGTGTTGGAGCCAGTGGTTGTCCAGGACAGCTCTAACACTACTTTGGGGGAATCAGCTCAAATGGCGGAGCATGTACACTGCTAAAAAAAAATTAAAGAAACACTTTGAAAACACATCAGATCTCAATGGCGAAAAATAATTTGCTGGATATCTGTACTGATATGGACTGGGTAATGTATATTGTCACGATAGTGACACTGCACTTGCTCTGATGAGAGTATGTAAAAAAAAACATTGTACTGCTATAGCTACTATTGACCAAAGGCAATAGCTGCTATACTGGCATACAGGGGGGTTTATTTACTAAAGCTGGTTCACTCAGAATCTTGTACACTTTTACATGGAGGCCGATCAACTTCCAGGTTTTATTGCTAAAGCTTATTTGAACAAGCTGAGGTTAGAAGCTGATTGGCTACCATGCACAGGTGCACAAGATTCTGAGTGAGCCAGCTTTAGTAAATCTCCTCCCATCAGTGTGACAGCCAATGGTCTCTGATCACTTTTTTTTACACATTGGAGTTGATTTACTAAAACTGGAATGTGAGAAATCTGGTGCAGCTGTGCATGGTAGCCAAGCAGCTTCTAACTTCAGTTTGTTCAATGAAGCTTTGTAAAAAAAAAAAAAACCTGGCAGCTGATTAATTTCTATGGACCAGATTTTGAACTCTCCAGTTTTAGTAAATTAACCCTATTGAATGCTTCCTACAATCCCAATGACTATAGGAAACATTCTGTAGCCTCTCACAGCTGATCATTGTTACAGGGAATGGCTCAAAGACTGTAGACTTGCAGTCTCTGCTTACATACGTTAATGCTGTGATTGGTCACAGCAATCATATGGTACAGGACTAAGCTATCACAGGGTAAAGGACACAGCTATCACAAGGCTCATCAGTGTGTGCTCTAGGAGCATAACCCTCTGATATGGGAGGATGTACTGGTATGTCCACCCGCATTAGTGCAGCTCCTGTCTGACCATTTATCTACATGGACGAGTTTGGAAGTTAAAGTGTATGTTTGGGACAAAAAAGAAAGAGAGAACATACATACAAGTATTCAGTATGATTCTTCAGTACATGTACATTTCCCTGACTTTTTAAAAATGCTTAACGTACATATAACTACCTGGTGACCCTGTCAGAGCACCTAATTTCCTGTTATAATTTGACAATGCTTCTACCGCTGTACTGAACTTCCAAGCAGCATTGTCAACACTGCCTATGTTCTATTCTATGGACCAGACACGCCACTCCATTAAGTAAAGGAGATATTGTTGGGAAACGACTGGATTTTAGTAGGATCAGGAGGTTTTATTGTTTTTATAACTGTAGCTTTTTTAAAAAGACAAAATATGGAAAAATCTGCATTTACTCCTTTATTCAG